TAAATAAATTGAACAAATTTTTCAAAACTACTCAAAATCATGCATGAACTAGAGAAAATTGGACACTGGTTTCCAAATTTCAAGGTTTTAGATTCTGTTAGAATTGGTGTGTTTGATAATTCTTTTTGCAATTTTGAAAAGTGTCTGCCTCAGCTCTGTGTCTCAGATTCAATTTGTGGGAGTGATTCTCATCAATATGCAATAACAAACATCAAATGGTATGGTTCAAAACATCAAGTACCATCAATTTGTAGCTGATCACAGCACAAATTTCATAGAGCTGGAATCTTACACGAAATCAGCAAACCCTAATTGATCTGTGTGCTACTGGGATGTAATGGTTTCAACATTGTCTTCTAGTCAATGAAATGGCTCAACGGCGCGCTGATGGAAATCGACAAATATCACCAAATATGGTCATGACTTTTTTTCTCAATTTGGTCAACTTGGCAGAGATTTTTTGTCATCCTCACCCTAGGCATACCCCACAAGCCTGTACACTCCCATTGACTAGACCCCAACCACTGCCGAGTTAAACTTCTTGAAAGATCAGTCACTCCAAGGAGACCATATGGTCGCTATCAGGGAACTGGATGTCTTGTTTACAAGCATGTGCTGACTGGCTGGCTGTTTGGGTTGTGACCTAATATTGCTTGTACTTCCACAGCAGCATAATGAAATGTAGTTAGAGGGGACCTGAGGGGTATATTAGCTGCCATAAAACAGTCTACAGGTTTAGGCATGACGGGGGACTGACCAGTGATTAGAATCTCCACGTGGTGACAACACCCTAGGTTTTTGGGCATGGCTGCCCCAAGGGTCAATACACAGTGCGCATCTGTTGCTAGAATGTACCCCAAAGAGTCACTGTTCTCTAAATTCTGAGATTTTGAAATTCGTGATTTGCAGAACCTTATATCAAGAAAAATTCTAACAGATGTTATAAAATAATCCTAGACATTCTGACTACCATCATGACACTTGAAATCTTGAACCATACGCTTGACCACAACCCATGAGATGGATCCATGGGGATATGTCTGCATAATCCACACAGAGGAAAGACAAAAATAGCAAAATCCCACACCAGAAATGGATAATCATGATATCCACATGCTCGAAACGGACAAAGTTTGAGACATCCCCACACCAGGGGAGGGCAAAATTAGAAACATCCCCCCCCCAGGGGAGGAACAAAGTTGGAGACATCCCCACACCAGGGGAGGAACAAAGTTGGAGACATCCCCACACCAGGGGAGGAACAAAGTTGGAGACATCCCCACACCAGGGGAGGAACAAAGTTGGAGACATCCCCACACCAGGGGAGGAACAAAGTTGGAGACATCCCCACACCAGGGGAGGAACAAAGTTGGAGACATCCCCACACCAGGGGAGCAACAAAGTTGGAGACATCCCCACACCAGGGGAGGGACAAAGTTGGAAACATCCTCACAATAGGGGAGGAACAAAGTTGGAGACATCCCCACACCAGGGGAGGGACAAAGTTGGAGACATCCTCACAATAGGGGAACAATGAAGAATTTCTGAACATCTTTGTACAAGGGAAGACATCATTTGAAGTATCACACACAAGAAAGGGCCAAGAATGTAAAAGATATCCCAACACGAGAGATAAAGAGACCATTCACTGAACACAGCATGGATCCATCTCATTATAGTTTACAAAATGTTTACCAGGAAAACTCAATGAATTCCAATCTTCAATGGTTTCAATAATTTTAAATTTTGGTCTGTACGTACACCAGATTTTGTTACAGAATTTTGCCAACATTGAACTTGAAACTTATAAACTTTGCATCACATATTTTGGGGGTCAATCTCATGATTTACAAAAGCGCATGCTTTTATGTCACAATTTTGACAAGTCTGATCTGCATGATTTTCACAATTTCACTGGATTCATTTGAGTTTTCCTGTTATGCTTCATGATTGACCAAGAATGTCCCATATATCACTAGCCCAAAAGAGGTAATGAATTTTATCCTCAAGCAAATTTGACAGTGTTAGGGCAAATACCAGCAGCAGTTAAATTGCAAGGTAAGATGATGATGTCATGCAATGGTATCACAGCGCTGTTACAACAATGGGATCAACCAATGAGCATCAAGGATTTGAGTTTGCTTGAG